GAAACTTAAGTATATGGCTTAAGTTAGAAAAAATAACATCGGAAGAAGTCCAAATAATGTGACGGAAGGATAACAGATGAGAAGAGAAATTAATGAAAGAGAAAATAAGGACAATAGTAGGAAGGGGAAACAGAGCCAACAGTTGTTTTTGAGCAAATTATACTATCAAGAAAAAAGAAATCACAAAAGTTTATATCAGAAATTAATAGAAAGACATAATGACAGAGGTAGCAGATATTACAAAACAGACAAACAGTGGATATTATGAACAAATTTATGCTAAGACATTTAAGATGTGTACAAAATAGATAAAATCCTAGAAGGCATAATTTTCTAAAATGAATTCATGAAGAAATAAAAATCCTAAATACTTCAATAGCCATTACATAAATTCAATTAGTAGTTAAGAAGTATCTTTCATTTCTGTCTTTCTCTCCCTTTCTTTACCCCATCTCCTCTCTCTCTCTCAGTATCTCTCAATCTCTCTCTCTCTCTTTCTCTCTCTCTCTCTCTCACACACACACACACAAACACACACACACACAGCCCTATTAGTATTATTAGCTAAATACCAAATTTACAATGGAGTTGGCATTCAAATTTGATTTAAATATTTCCATAAAATTGATAAAAGTGACTACTTTCAATTAATTTGATGAAAACACTATAATTTTAATACCAAACCAAAAAAAAATTAAGTATAGAAAGAAAAACTGTGCACCGATCTTATTCAGGAGCACTGACATAAACTCTCTAAGAGAGTAGGAGACAATGACCATGCCTCAGATTTGAAGAATCAATACAAACAATGCAATTAGTGTACAGCTCAAACAGCATATACTGAAGTGCTTAACCTTATACCTAATATTTAAAAATATTTGGAACACACAGAGCCATGGGAGTGGCTTTTGGAGATATTTTCATGAAGGAAGAAAGATTACAGCTAAGTCTAAAAATACTATTATAGTTGTTTGTTTGCTTGTTTTGTCTTGGAGAGGAGGTGAAAGTGGGAGTAAAAACAGGGAGCTTGGAGTAAGGTGGGAAAAGCGAAGAAACCTGCAAGGATGGGCTGAAGGGTGTGCTGGGAGAACAGTGAGAAATATATCTAGGGAAGAAATTGGAGATGCAGGTTTAATCCCAAGCTATCCAAAGGCATGTACTGAAGAATTAATGTGTGACTAGGAACAGGGATGTCATGAGACTTATCGTTAACCCAACAGAGGGCAGTCAGTTTCACTAATGAATGAGGACTGTGAGGACAGACAGAGTGAGGGGCAGGCAGATGAAGGCAGGAATTTAACAAGAAACAGGTCCACTTGATTGTTGACAAGATGCTGTTTTAAAGTTCCATTTTGCCACACATGGAACAGCTTTTCCCTAGCCAAATTTAGTGGCATGTAATATCTTTAAACATAGGCAGATACCTAAAGTTCCCACATGAAAACCAAATTTAAACCTGCTGTGACCCACTTCAACACCATCATTGGAAGCCAGAAGTTGAGCCCTTTTCTGAGTTTAAAACTTTCATAATATTCAGCATATTATTATTTATGTATTTATTTCCTTTGTGATAGAAATTTTGTTTCTCCCAATTTTCTATTTTATTAAAACATTGCTACATAGAAATCCTCCTTGGAAATTTCTCCTAATGAGAGAAATATTTTACATAGAAGACTCTAGAAATGGGATGAGATCCATGGGTTAGGAGAATTTTAAAATAGATAGGTCCACCAATTCCACAGAAATACAAACTACCATCAGTGATCACTACAAACAAATCTATGCACATAAACCAGCAAACCTGGAAGAAATGGATAAATTCCTGGAAGCTTAAACCCTCCCAAGACTAAACCAGGAAGAAGTTGAATCCCTGAATACACCAATAACAAGGTCTGAAGTTGTGGCAGTAATTACTAGCTTACCAACCAAAAAAGTCCAGGTTCAGATGGGTTTACAGCTGAATTCTACCAGACATACAAAGAGGAGCTGGTACCATTCCTTCCAAAACTATTCCAAACAATACAAAAAGAGGGAATCCTCTCTAACTCATTTTATGAGACCAACGTCATCCTGATACCAAAACCTGGTAGAGACACAAGTTCTCACTCATAGGCAGGTGTTGAACAATGAGAACACATGGACACAGGGAGGGGAGCACTACACACTGGGGTCTGTTGGAGGGAAATAGGGGAGGGTCAGTGGGGCATGGGGAGTTGGGGAGAAACAGCATGGGGAGAAATGCCAGATATAGGTGATGGGGAGGAGGGCAGCAAATCACACTGCCACGTGTGTACCTATGCAACAATCTTGCATGTTCTTCACATGTACCCCCAAACCTAAAATGCAATAAAAAAAAAAAAAAAAAAAAAAAAAAAGAAAACTTCAGTCCAATATCCATGATGAACATAGATGCAAAAGTCTTCAATAAAATACTGGCAAACCAAATGCAACAGCACATTGAAAAGCTTCTCAATCATGATCAAGTAGGCCTCATCCCAGGGATGCAAGGCTGGTTCAACATACGCGGCCGGGCGCAGTGGCTCAAGCCTGTAATCCCGGCACTGTGGGAGGCCGAGGTGGGTGGATCACGAGGTCAAGAGATCGAGACCATCCTGGTCAACATGGTGAAACCCCGTCTCTACTAAAAATACAAAAAATTAGCTGGGCATGGTGGTGCGTGCCTGTAATCCCAGCGACTCAGGAGGCTGGGGCAGGAGAATTGCCTGAACCCGGGAGGCGGAGGTTGCGGTGAGCCGAGATCGCGCCATTGCACTCCAGCCTGGGTAACAAGAGCGAAACTCCGTCTCAAAAAAACAACAACAACAACAAAAAAACATACGCAAGTCTAAAAACGTAATTCACCACGTAAACAGAACCAAAGACAAAAACCACATGATCACCTCCATAGATGCAGAGAAGACCTTCTACAAAATTCAACAGCACTTTATGCTAAAAACTCTCAATAAACTAGGTATTGATGGAACTTATCTCAAAATTATAAAAGCTATTTATGACAAACCCACAGCCAATATACTAAATGGGCAAAAACTGGAATCATCCCTTTTGAAAACCAGCACTAGACAAGGATGCCCTCTCTCATCATTCTCATTCAATATAGTATTGGAAGTTCTAGCCAGAGCAATTAGGCAAGAAAAAGAAATAAAGTGTATTCAATCAGGAAAAGAGGAAGTCAAATTGTCTCTATTTGCAGTCGACATGATTGTGTATTTAGAAGACCACGTTTTCTCAGCCCAAAATCTCCTTAAGCTGATAAGCAACTTCAGCAAAATCTCAGGATACAAAATTAATGTGCAAAAATCACAAGCATTCCTATACACCAATAACAGACAAACAGAGAGCCAAATCATGAGTGAACTCCCATTCACAGTTGCTACAAAGAGAATAAAATACCTAGGAATACAACTAACAATGGATGTGAAGGACCTCTTCAAGGAGAACTACAAACCACTGCTCAATGAAATAAGGACACAAACAGATGGAAAAACATTCCATGCTCATGGTTAGGAAGAATCAATATCAGGAAAATGTCCATACTGCCCAAAGTAATTTATAGATTTGATGGTATCCTCATTAAGCTACCATTGACCTTCTTCACAGAACTGGAAGAAAACCACCTTAAACTTCATATGAAACCAAAAGAGAGCCTGAATAGCCAAGACAAACCTAAGTACAAAGCACAAAGCTGGAGACATCATGCTACCTGACTTCAAACTATATTACAAGGCTACAGTAATCAAAACAGCATGGTACTGGTACCAAAACAGAGATATAGACAAATGGAACAGAACAGGGGCTTCAGAGGTAACACCATACATCTACAACCCCTGATCTTTGACAAACCTCACAAAAACAAGCAATGGGGAAAGGATTCCCTGTTTAATAAATGATGTTGGGAAAACTGGCTTGCCATATGCAGAAAGCAGAAACTGGACCCCTTCCTTATACCTTATACAAAAGTTAACTCCAGATGGATTAAATATTTAAACATAATACCTAACACCATAAAAACCGTAGAAGAAAAACTAGGCAAAACCCTTCAAGACATAGGCATAGGCAAGGATTTCATGACGAAAACACCAAAAGCAATGGCAACAAAAGCCAAAATAGACAAATGTGATCTAATTAAATTTAAGAGTTTCTGCACAGCAAAAGAAGCAATCATTAGAGTGAACTGGCAACCAATAGAATGGGAAAAAGTTTTTGCAATCTATCCATCTGACAAAGGGCTAATATCCAGCATCTAGAATGAACTAAAGCAGATTTACAAGAAAAAAAGAAAGAAATCCATTCAAAAGTGGGTGAAAGATAAGAACAGACACTTTTCAAAAGAAGACATATATGAGGCCAACAAACATATGAAGAAAGGCTCATCATCACTGGTCATTAGAGAAATGCAAATCTAAACCACACTGAGATACCATCTCATGCCAGTTAGAATCGTGATCATTAAAAAATCTGGAGACAACAGATGCTGAAGAGGATGTGGAGAAATAGGAGCGCTTTTAAACTGTTTGTGGGGGTGTAAATTAGTTCAACCATTGTGGAAAACAGTATGGCTATTCCTCAAGGATCTAGAAATAGAAATTCCATTTGACCCAGCAATCCCATTATTGGGTATATACTCAAGGGTTATAAATCGTTGTATTATAAAGACACATGCACAAGTATGTTCATTGCAGCACTGTTTACAATAGCAAAGACTGGGAATCAACCCAAATGCCCATCAATGAGAGACTGGACAAAGAAAATGTGGCATGTATACACCACGGAATACTGTGCAGCCATAAAAGAGGATGAGTTCATGTCCTTTGTAAGGACATGGGTGAATCTGGAAACCATCATTCTCAGCAAACTGACACATGAACAGAAAACCAAATATCACATGTTCTCATTCATAGATGGGTGTTGAAGAATGAGAACACATGGGCACAGGGAGGGGAATGTCACAAACTGGGGTCTGTTGGGGAGTGTGGGGCTAGGGGACGGACAGTGGATGTTGGGAGGATGGGGTGGGATAACACTGGGAGAAATGCCTGATGTAGGTGATGGTGGGATGGAGACAGCAAACCACCATGGCATGTGGTAACCTAAGCAACAATCCTGTAAGATCTGTACATGTACCCCAGAACTTAAAGTACAATTAAAAAAAAAGCAGACAGAAAGTGAGACACACATGGTTTTGGTAAAAACTGAGAAATAGATCATTAACCCATCTATATGGTGTGTTTAATAAAAACAACTTTTAAAACAAAAACAAACAAACAAAAAAAAAGATAGGTCCTCCAAATTGCCCTCTTACAAATCATAGAAATTCACATGCTTCCAGCAGTTACAGCAATGGGTGTTACCACCCCCATCCTCATCAGCACTGAATGTTAAGCACGAAAATGTGTGTCCTTAACTGAAATGTCCCTTAACTGTGTGTCCCTTAACTGAAATGATTGGTACCAGAAGTGATTCAGATTTGGGTTTTTGCAGATTTCAGAATATTTGCATTATATATACTTAGTGATTGAGAATTCCAAATCCAAAAATTTGAAATCTGAAATCCTCCAGTGAGCATTTCCATTTAGAAGCTGAAAATGTTTCGGGTTTTAGAGCATTTTGGATTTCAGATTTTTGGATTTCAGATTTTTGGATTTGGAATGCTAACCTGTATTAAACATCTGACAACCTGAAAGACACAAAACACACCTCAGTTTTTTATTTTGCTTCATTCTGGGCTTTAAAAATTTCTGTGCCAAAGTTCATGCTGTGTGTGAAATCCTGCTCACCCCCAAACAGGTCCAGCCCAGGTGATAACTCTGCTGTGAAGTCTTTCCCATTCTCATGGGGAACACTATTTATTTACTTCCTGATACCCAAAAAGAACAGTGCAAATATTCCTCTCACTTGCATTGTGACTTTTTAAAAAATGTTTTTATGTGGAGCTCATTCTCTAATCCTTTATTCCTTATTTCACTGTACAGATTAGGTGCAAATATTATTTGGTTCGATGACTGAATGATACCATCAAGAAAACCTTAATCCTCCCAGGAACCTCAAAAATAAGGTACAATCATAATATTTTTATATTGATTCAAGGGATTTGTCTAAGATCACAATTCAATTCAGTATCCAAGCATTCTGACTCTCAAATCTGTGCTGCTGAGCACTGTGCTATGTATAAATGTCATAGATCATAAGAAATAGAAATACCTGAGTGCAGAAATGTCCTCTGTATTTACACACTTTGGTGAGCATTAGGAAATGGGGCTGCTGAAATTGAGATGAGCTTGGAAGGTCAAAAGGAAGCATTCTGTTACCCCAGTGAAATAAACATTGCGGTTTGCTCATTCTAACATGGAAAAAAAATTCTAATGTATTTATCCTTTAATTAACTCTTCCAAAAGAAGAAGCAGGAAGACAGCTGCAATTAAAGGCTCAAATGGAAGTATTTTTACCTAATGGAAGAGTTGCCCATTTTGGGAAACTGTGCTAGAAGGACCCAAACAATGCTGATGATAATTATCAGGATGATAAGTAATCTGGGAAGACAACAAAGTGATGTAAATCTTAGACAAGTCATCATAGGCGCCTCCATTGTGCTTCAGTGCTTGCATTCACTCTTGTGCTATTTTCTTACTTTTACCAAACAAAACATAGCTCCTTGACATCCCATGAACCCATGCTATGCCTAATGAGCATCAGTTAGTAAAATGCCCATGACTAGTAATCTTCACCTATACAATTATTCATTCATAAAATAGTTCAAATGTAAGCAATGAATGTATTGAAAAGTACATAATACATTGATTAGAAAAAACACTCTATTAAAAAGACATTATTTTTATGATAAAAGAGATTACCATTTTTGTACTTTTTCACTAACAGAAAACTAAGCTTACATAGGTGAATTCTAAAAACTTCTAATTCAGAATGCTGAGTAAATTGGCCAAAAATGCTAACCTACCCATTTCAATATTACAGGATTCATACAGGTAGAAATAACGGAATAAAATACTGGTAGGCAGTATAGTCCTATCTGTGGTTCCTGAGGTCCAGGGAGAATGAGTTCACCACCTTCCCACCTCACACTAGCCAATGTTTTTTCCATGAGTAACCAAAACAGCAGAATTTACTTACCTGTTCATAAAAGATCATCACTTCTGTGTGTTCTCCTGAAATAGGTGGTGGCTGGGTGAAAAGGGGGACAGCATTAGGGCAGGAGATGGGGGCTCTAGCATCTTGAGTGAGCTTCTGAAACCTCTGCAGCTTCCAGCCACTAAATGGGATAAGCCATGGAAAGCTTTAGCCCAATGCCCAGAACAAAGTCAGGGTTCAGTGCATGGCCTGCTCTCCTCATTTTTCTGTCATCAGCAGCTGTGTCCTGTGCCTCCCACCCACTGGGCTCTGCTCTTCCCATAGCATGTGGAGTAGCCCCCAGAGCCTGGCCTCCAGCTGCCCTCCAGGCCTTGTTTCCTCTCACTCTGCCACGGGCTCCTCACTGACCCGCCTTGCTCCTGGGTGTCCTCAGAAAACACCATGTACTCAACTGCATGTAGCCTCACTGCTCCTTCCCCGGAGTGCCACAGGGCTCACCTCATCAGAAGGACCCCACATACCTGGAGGAAGGACCCTCCCTTCGCTCACTCTCTTCTAATTTTTGTAGCAGCTTTCCTTCCTTCTGCTCAGTGCAGCGCACGCTGATGAATCCTCCATCTTCCCCACAAAGACAGGAATAGCATGAGCAGCAGAGAGTAGATACTCAATGACAGAAAATACAGTCATCGATTTATCATGTAAATTTATCAAATTTATCATCAATTAAATAAAATGTATGCTAAAGGTCACATACCTCCTATGAGACCACTGTATCTTCTGCCTCCTGAATTTCAGTCCGGCACCTTCCACAGCAACATGTCATCCCTTAGCACCATTCCTCTCTTATTGCCTTGGTGCAGAGCCAGGACCACGGCCAGGTAAGGCCTTGGGACTGTCCCTCCCCAGTTACCTGTGAAACAATCATGTCACCAACAAAGCACAGCCTTACCAATTGGTAGTCAGTTCCTCCCAACACCTATGTCCCTGCAAAGGTGGCAGAACCCCTTCAAGATTGGTCTTCCCAGGCATTGCACCTCTAGGTGATAGGGCATGTCCTTACCTCAGGCCTGGGTGCCCAGTCTATCCCATCCAATAAGAGAGCTGTGGAGAAGGAAAGACTCCAGTTTAAGGGGAGATTACTGGGGTTCCTACTTCCATCCTGCCCCAATGGGAAGGCTGTTAAAGAAACAGCAAGTGTAAAGCTGGGATGATAGAACGTGTTTTCATTATTTAAACCAATAAACTCCACAGTTTGGAACAACAAAAAGAAAAATGGTACATCCAAGCCATATTATTTTTATCACACTTAGCTAAAATATCACTTTATCAATAGGACCATTTTTTAAAAGAGTCAAGATCCAATTGTTTTTCTGTTAGAATATTCACCAACATTCCTTTTCACCTGATTCATTCAATTTTTAAAGAACTCAAAATTGAATAGCAAGTGTAGCAAGACAATGAATGAACTGCAGCTATGCGCAGCCACATGGCTGACTGTTCCAAACTTATTATGAGCAAAAGCCTCCGGAAATCAAGGAATACATCCTGAGTTATTCTATTTAAAATAAGTGCAAACTAAAAAGGAGCAAACTTTAGCACACGAAGTTGTAATGGTTATCTTTGGAAAGGAGGAGATCCAAGGACAGTTTTCGAGTACAGGTAACTTCTATTTTTTGACCTGACTTGTAGTTACATGGGTGCTCATTTTGTGATAAATGACAGAGCTGTATTATTTAGGTTTCATGTGTTTTCTGTATGTATGTCATACTTCAGATTTTTAAATGTTTCACAAAATACTATGACAATATATGGTCTATTGAAAATGCAGGAGAAAAAGGAGACTCTGTGGTCCATTCTTTCTATCTGTCACCTGCCAGCCCCTGGCTTTAGGCCCAGGTTGCTCTAGCTGTCCTGGGTTGACTGAACTCTTGCAGCAGGCTCTTGGAATGAGTACCTTCCCGGACTCTGTCCCTTGGTAACATCGGCCCATCCTTAACAGCTGCAATTGATAAACTCATCTGTGTTAGCGTGTGGATGATTCATCTGTTTCCTCCTTTATGTGATGTATATAGGGACATCTGGACAGTGCATTTGCCTGTCAGAACAGGTAATAATTTCATCCCTCATGAAAAACACAAATGGAGTTTTTTGAATATGTGGTTGAACATCAGGAGTGTGAGCAGAAGTCAGGTACAATCAGAGACACTTCAAAGGAAGAAAACTATTTCATTTAAAAATAGGGCCCTAGTTTTTGTATGTGGAAACAGAACCTAAATATCTTCTCCTTTCTCTTACCCTACTCTAGCACTCTGTAGTTAGTTTCACTGGAACCAACCACTGAAGCCTCTAATCCACTTCTCCATCGGCACTTCCCCAGGAGAATTCTAGGCACAGCCCAGGGGCCCCTCGGCAACCCCCTGTGAGAAGGAGCTCTCTCTGACACCTGTTTCTGGACCTTGGTGTGGAAGTCCATGGAGAAGGGGTGCTGCTGCTACTGAGGTTATAGGTCAGAGGCTCATGAGAGAGGCCACCCTGACCTCCTAGTCCTGAGGCCAGCAGAGGGTGCAAGCACTGGCAAATGGCTGTATGCTATGACTTATGAGGCATAAATACAAACCAAGCAAGTATTTTGTTGATTTCCCAAGAAAGCTTCTATTTTCTTCACTAATCATAATGATGGCAGAAAGTTCATTTCCAGGAATATTTTCAATAATTGATGTTACCTGATGAGTAAATTAAACTATTACAAACAAACTGATTCCAGAGCAGTGAAAGTCAATTCAGTTCTCTAGCTGTCTCATGGGGACCAAGAAGTGGCAGTGCATATTCAAATACCTACACAGACAGAAATGTCACCAGATGCAGCTAGTCCATCTTATCCAATTCACATTTACCTCATTATACCTCAACCTCCAGTACCCTCTGCCATACTCTATGGACTTCCTCCAGTCCAAGCCACTCACCAAAACGGGACACCCATACCCAAATGACTCTAAAAATCCAGCAGGGAGGTTGAAGAGTGAGGTGAGCAGAGCAGCAAACACACCAAATATCCCTTCCTTTGACTGCTGCACAAACTCTTCTGTCCCTCTGGTCTTTTCTAGTTTTTCATGTTTCCTCACACCTTAGAAACATTCCTCAGAATTCATACCTTGAAAGAGAGGCCCTTGGTTCATGGCTTGCCTATGTACAGAATGGGGTTGCTCATCCCTGGCTTCCCTGTGAGGAACATGAGCAGCAGCTTCAGGAACTCCCCCCTAATGCAGGCAACCTTCATGTGAGACTCCTCCATGCCTCATAGGCAGTGCTGTACAATACACTGCCAGGAACACACAACACAGTCATGAAATGACCAACCATAGGGGATTTTAAAGGTGAGTGTCCCTACCAAGTGTTTACTAATACAGTAAGAAATGGTGTCATGGCTGCTGGAAAACAATGGGCTTTGACATTAAACATGGACTTGACTCCCTGGTCCTCTTAGGTGAGTGTTTCACCTCTAGAATGTCAGATTTCTCATCTCCAAAGCAAGGTTGCCTCTTGCAAGTCCTAGAAGAAAACCACAGGCTAATCTTCCTCAGGAGCACAGATGCAATAAACAGAGTAGAAGTAGAAAGCACTGATCTTTAAGTCAATTTCAAGAACCAAAACCAAACCAAAGAAAACCAGGCAATCAGTGTATTGTGCAAGATGACATGGCATATTGCTAAAGCTTTTCAGTGTTTTTAAAATATTAGAGGAAAAACAAGCTCTGGGAATGGCTGCTAGAGAAATATTTATGAGAGATGTCATACTAAAACCAAATATTAAAGGGTAGACAACTTTTTTTTTTACCTCTTGTGTTAAGTGGTGGAAATATTCTAGTAAGCTTGTTATGAAGCACAGAATCCTGCCTGCCTGACTGAGCTGGAGGGGGCGTTGGGGGATAGCAGTCCACAGTGTTGGAGCAAGTGGGCTTGATGCTTATCACAGTCAATCAAGGTCAACTTATGAACACTTTAATATGTGACTAGGAAGAACAAGGGTGTCTGGAATCCATTATCACCTCAGGAGTTGGCACTGAGTTCCATGGTTGGATGATGAGTGGATGGACAGACAGATGGACAGGTGGATAAGTGGGTAGACTTGACATGAGTTAATGTTCTTGGCTTCTGGGAAGAAAAATTTTTAAAGTTTCCATTTTCTACAATCTAAACAGCTTCCTCAGAAGTTGAATTTAGTAGCATTTAAAAATCATTAAACCAAGACAAACATACAGAGTTCCTACATGTAACCAAATGCAGGCCAGATATTACCTACATTGCACTACAGCAGAGGCAGGATTGGACCCTGGCAGTCTGACACCAACACCTGTGTTCTTCTGCACTGTGCCATGGGAGACAAAAACATTTCAAAAGAAATACAGACCAGAATGGTCTCGATCTCTTGACCTCGTGATCCACCCGCCTTGGCCTCCCAAAGTGCTGGGATTATAGGTGTGAGCCACCACACCCGTCTCAAAAAAAAAAAAAAAAAAAAAAAAAGAAATACAGACTAGAATATGTATGTGCTATGTATTTACACACACTAATGACAATCAGGAATTGAGGCTAACGACATCTGGGCTTTGAGTCATATAAATAGGCTAGGAAAGTTGCATTTTACTACCATATTGAAAGAAACCACTTATTTCTCACTCCAGCAGGAAAAGTGTTTTTCAGCATTCACTTATCTGCTCATTGACTCTTTTACTATAGACAGGGAGATGATAGGCAGGAGAATAGCCCCAAATGGAGGCCCAAGGTAATAAGCAATTGACTCAATGTAATGGAAGAGTGCAGCATTCAGAGATATCTGTACTAATGGAACCCACATGATGTGGGTGAGAGCTATTAGGATGAGAAATAACCAGGGAATGCAATTAAATATTCAAGTATTAAACAGAACACAATTGAAATCTCCATTGCACTTGAGTTTTTGAAGTGATTCTTGCAGTCATCATTGCCTTTCCCAAACAAAGCAAGCTACTTCATTTCACATGAACCTGTGCCACGAGGAACGGTGATCAGTTTGTAAAACGTCAAGAAAGCAACTGTTTGTCTATATTAGTCACAATATTTTATCTATGTTTTTCAATTTTTTATCTAGGTATTTCAATTAAATATGTGTAAATACAGTTCAAATGTTAGAAATTATTATCTAGTATGATATTCATAATATATCAATAAGCAATAACCGCCACATTACTTCTCTTAAGAATTATTTGATGAAAAAAGCAGATTCTCATTCTTGGATTTTTCTCAGTTTGCACACATTACTTATTATGACAGTCCCATGTCCACCAGACATGTGCCCAGCAGAAGGCCAGGAACTGCAAGCTTTTCTTATTAACTTAGATTTCTAAATGTATTACATATTTATGGTTAGAAATTACTCTAAATATTTGAAAGAGTTTGAAAGGAAGTTTTCCTTCCACTCCCAACTCCCAAACACCAAGTCAGCATTTTTGTTTGCATATCATCCCTGCATTGTATGTGCAAATACAAACATGCACCAGAAGCACATGCTTTTTCATGGTTATATTTATACAGAGTCTTCTGTAGCTCTGCATATATCACTGGTCAATGCATCTCAGCTACCATTCTGCATTTCAATTGTAAATCCATCTCATTATATAAGACCTATAAAGTAATCTTGCTATTTAAACCATGCTACAGTGAACAGCCTTTTCTGTGTCGCTCCTGGCACCCATGCATGCATGTATCTGGTGAAGCATTCCTGGAAGTGGGATGGCTAGAAAGTTACATTATCTTTAACCCTGGCAGAATGAAACTGCCTTCTGAAGAGGTCATGTGAGTCAACAACACCCTGGCCATAATTTTGGATTTGTGTTTCCTTCTAAGTTTAATCTATGTGACATGAGTCCTAAAGGCACTGAGTATTGCAGTCTCAGGGGCACAGCTCAAATTACAATTTTATTACTTCACAAAATTTCAATAGTAGTATCGTCTGTTTGTAAATGTTAAAAGGAAGCATTACAAAATATTACAATTCAAAAGGATAGATATATTAATTTTTTTTTAAGAGACAAGAGTTTTGCTCTGTTACCCAGACTGGAGCGCAGTGGCATGATCAGTGAAACCTCCACTTCCTGGTTCAAACAATTCTCATGCTTCAGCTCCCTGGGTAGCTGGAATCACAGGCATGTGCCACCACATCCAGCTGATTTTATATTTTTAGTACAGAAGGGGTTTTGCTATGTTGGCCAGGCTGGTCTCAAACTCCTGGCCTCGAGTGATCTGCCTGCCTCAGCCTCTCAAAGTGCTGGGATTACAAGCATGAGCCACTGTGCCCAGCCATATTAATGTTTTTAAATGGAAAACGTGTGCATTGCTTAGGATTAAATAAGCTACCACCAATGACTTATCTGCTGGAGATGCCTAATGGTGTGCTGAATTTTATTATGAAAATTGACATGATTAGAATAAGATGAAATTTCTTTTTTTTGTTACAATTTAAAAATAAAAGGCCATTCAAACGAAAGACTAACCAGAGTAATTCAACTCTTAGCGAGAGATAAAACTAAAGGTTGACAAGGATTTGGAGAATTGGCTACTCTCAAAGTCTGCTTAAAAAGCATAATTTGATGTAACCATTTAGGAAAAAGGTTGGCATTATTAATGAAAATAAAAGATAGGCACCCTTCCCATAATCTTCTCAACAGAAATGGGTGCCTGTATTATTCAAAAACATTGATAAAAATGCTCAAAGCAGCATAATTTGTGATAGCCAAAATTATTTTAAAAATCCTCATGTCCATCAATAGTAGAGTGGATAAATTACAACAGTGCCTGCAGTGGAATACTATATGGTGAGGAAATGAAAGGGCTATGGCTATGCTTAACAACATGACTGAATCTCTAAAACAACGGGAGCAAAGAAGCCAGACACCAAGCAACAGATATTGACTATTCTATGCAGAATTATCCAAACCTGGAGAAGTCTAAACAGGGCATTAGAAAACACACAAAACGTTAGTCAGTTACTAAAATTGCCTTCTGCTTGGGCTATTTACCCTTGTGGAAGAAAGACAACAATGAAGATGAATAGGAAAGAAATGAGAAATGCCTTTGCTTAGTAGCTAAAAGCTACCTGCTATAAGACAAAGCTGTATACAAATGGTCTTGAATTCCGCGTGCTGTGATTCAGTGACAGAGTTCCCTCACTCCTCCTGTCTGGCTTCAAGTCCAGCTACATCGTTGCTGTCTTCTTTACAACTTGCAAGATCATGCTGCTACTACATGAGATTATATGCTGTATGACATTTACACTTGTTTTAAAGCAAAACTTTATTTCACTTAGGCTAATGACCATGCAGGGTACACTAGCCAGTCAACAATGAGATGGCTCCTCATAGAGGAAAGCCTAGGTTGAGGCTGAGGGTCCTTAATCCAGATGAACAAGAGAGTTGTTACGAGGTGACAGAAACCACACTGAGTGGTGCAGAGAGTTCTTAATCCATCCCTCTCTTCACTGTTTTTAGCTGGCAGGATTTGAGCATTTTAGGGCCTGTGAACGTTACTAAATCTACTAAAATATATCACCAATCCTTATAGGCTTTGGCCAGCTGCTGAGCAAAATAACTTCAGAACTGTCAGAACTGTCTTATGTGGTCCCCACATGTCTTAGAACCTGTGAGCTGACCCAAAACATCCGGAGATCTTTGTGTTTTTGACACTGGAGACTATGCTGGTCTGCAAGAGGATATGCTTATAACTGCTCTGGGTTATGTGACCATGGAGGTCACTTTATGGTGATGGGCAGAGTCTGGGATCTCTTAGCCTCAGTACTTTAGGGCTTGTACATGAATGCCAGACTCCCTGCATGGTGACGAACACCCTATGACTGAGGCATAAGTGCGTGTCAGCAGATGACAGCATCAATATTGGGCCACACACTTGAGCTCATATTTTGACTTTTTCATTCAGGAGCTCAAAAACTGGGGCCATTCCCATTGGCCCTTCAGATTCTCCACCTGAGCAGTGGGGATAATAAGGGGTGGCTCTGGCATGGGTGAATGAGTCACTGTACAGAGAGAGTAGAATGGGGGTGTATTTTACTTTTGAGAAGGGGAAACTGGTAATTGTGATGTGTACATTGGAAATCATTCCTGAGAAAACACACAGCCTCCCTTGTACAAAAATATACACATTCGCATCACACAACACAGACTCATAAGGCACCACAATTCTCAATAGCACAGCCTAGTGCTCCCGTAGAAGTGCAGCTGCTTTATCATATGGAGACATTTTGCCATAAATTTTGCCTGGAGAATTCAAGTTTTTTTTTTTTTTTTTTAAAACAAAACGAAACAAAACAAAAAACAAAACAAAACAAACCACTTCCACTATCCTTATTCTGATCAGAATCCCAGAATCAGGGTGGCTCTTCACATTGAAGCCAGCAAGAATGCCACACCTTTCTTGGCATCCAGACCTTTTTTTCTTATCAAGTAATTCCAGGGTACTTACTGGAGTCACACCTCAGAGGGGCCACCTGCACAACCTGCAATACAGAAACAAAGCTTTATAAGGGGCACATCAAGTTGTGGATTGTTTGCACATGGCTGTTTCTCTAAAAGAATATTAAAAACTGGATCAGAAACTAGTCAACTCCAAGGCCCCCAAAACAAGGGTAAAATGCACACTAGAAAAGACATGAGCTTTCCCTGGAAGGTGTATCTCTTAGGTCCATTTAGGATGCCAAGTGCAAAATGCTTAATCAAAGAAGACATTGCTTCCAAGAATGAGGACCTCAAGGGTGCAGCCTATCACCTGAGGGCCATCATATGTAAATGCCAAATCTCAGTTGCTAACAGTCTTCTCTTCTACCACCCCAGGAAACAGCATTTAATATCTATAATGCACATTGTCATTTTTTCACATGTAAAGTTAATTGAAAAGGGAACCAAGAAAGGGACGTGTCTATTTCAGGGAAAGCAAGGCAACCTCACTCTCACATCAACTGGCCTCTTTTCATCTCCTCTGCCCTCGTGAGCTGGAAACTCCTGCGGAGTTAGTAGGACACAGAACACTTGTCAGTCATAGATGCTTCTGTTCATTTGGCTCCACCCCAAATGTCCCTTTTTGGAGGAAGCCACCATTATGCTGCGCCTCCAACATGTCCACACATACTGGCATCTCATTCACGCAAGGTGTGTGTCCTCCAACAAAGTTTCACACTCTAAACCCAGATAATTTTTGAAATCCGAGTTTTGTTGATTCCCCCTACTTAAGTTGCTCATTTGTCTTCAAAACACTCCCCCGATTAAACTGCCAAAAATGTCTTGCAGAATTTGTATGTTAATTCTGACATTTTGTTATTACAAGTGTTTTTATGTCTTTGTTATTAATAAAAGTAAATAACTAGTAATGCTGTTTTCAGCTATGTTTCCAAGAAAATTTATATAAAAATAAATTCTTAGATTATTTTGAGAATTTGACAAAGACAATAACAATAATAATCTCATTTGCTTTATACTAATATTTACATGTGTTACTTTATTTCTTACATGCTGGGGCTTAGCATACAGTGTACAATGAAATTGGTACTGTGCATCATGGGAGGAATAAACATTGGCACAGCTAATTTAGAAGATAGTTCTCTTGTTTCTTAAAAAAATTAAATTTTAAGTTACCATTTGGTCCAGCAAGTCCACACCTAGGAAATGCCCCAAGTGAACTGAAAGCATATTCTCCAAAGTCATCTGTACAGACATGTGTCTTTTAATGACAGTGATGTATTCTAAGATATGGATCATTAGGTGATGTAGTAATTGTACAGACATCATAGAGTGCGCTTACACAAACCTAGATGGCACAGCCAATGATACACCTAGGCTGTATGATTACACCTAGGCTGTATAATACAGCCAATTGCTCTGGGCTTCGACCTGTACAATATGTGATTGTACTGAATACTGCAGGCAAAGGTAACAAAATGGTAAGCTTTTATATATCTAAAATCTAAATATAGAAAAGCTACGATATAGTATAAAAAATAAAAATTAGTACATCTGTGTAGGGCACTTTACCATGAACATAGCATGCAGGACTAGAAGTTGATCTGGGTGATTTAGTGAGTGAATGTGAAGGCCTAGGGCATTACTGTACACTACTATAGACTTTATAAACATTGCACCTTTAGACTACCCTAAATTTATAGAAATATATTTTATTTATTCGATAATCAACAAATCTTAGCCTACTGTAACATTTAAAATTTATTATCTTTTAAAATTTTATTTTTTGTTTTTGAGATGGAGTTCTGCTCTTTTTGCCCAGGCTGGAGTGCAAAGGCATGATCTTGGCTCACCACAACCTCCGCGTCCCAGGTTCAAGTGATTCTCCTGCCTCAGCCTCCCAGGTAGCTGGGATTACAGGCATGCGCCATCACATCTGGCTAATTTTGTATTTTTAGTAGAGGACGGGTTTCTCCATGTTGATCAGGCTGGTCTCAAACTCCCAAACTCAGGTGATCCACTCTCCTCGGCCTTCCACAATGCTGAGATTACAGGTGTGAGCCACCACGACTGGCTTAACATTCAAAATTTTAAAAACAACTCTTATTTATTTATTCTTTTGGAGATGGAGTTTTGCTCTTGTTGACCAAGCTGGAGTGTAATGGCGCAATCTCAGCTCACTGCAACCTCCACCTCCCAGGTTCAAACAATTCTGCTGCCTCAGAGGAAGAGGTGGGATTAATGGCAGCTGCCACCATGCCCGTGTAACTTTGTATTTTTAGTAGAGACGGTCTTTCTCCATGTTGGTCTGGCTGCTCTCGAACTCCTGACTTCAGGTGATCCACCCACCTCAGCCTCCCAAAGTGTTGGGATTACAGGTGTGAGCCACTGCACCTGGCCAAAAACAACTCTTTTGTAATACCACTTATCTTAAAACATACACATTGTACAGCTGTGCAATTTTTTATATCACTATTCTATATTTTTTCTATTTTTAAATTTAAAAGTTTAAAATTTTAAGCTTTATTATTAACAGCTGAGGCTCAGACACACACATCAGCCTAGGCCTACACAGGATCAGGATCATCAGTGTCACTGTCTTCCGACTCCACTTCTTGTCCCACTGGAAGGGGC